ACGAACGGTACGGGTTTCTACGGCGGATAGTAATAAAGAAGAAAAGTATAGCCGCCATGAAGGATTTATGCATTTTAAGAAAAATACTGATTTACGTAGGATTTGTGGAAAGGGATTTCTTTTAACAATAAACGACAATTTATCGAATGGAAAATTGACGAACATGAACGAGACGCTTTTGGATAATAACGCAAACAAAGTTATAATTTATACTTCACAAAAACAAGTCAATTTTCTCATTACGTGAGATATATGTTTGCGTAACTTTAGTCGTATTTTTATCTCTGCTATCATGTTCCTCGAGTTTCTCTTTGTTGATGTGATGGACTTGAAACACTACCATATATGAGATAAAAACATTGAAATTTTCGAATCGATTTTATTTTCAATGCACTACGTGTTTTGATATGAAAATATATGAATTGTCATTTGTGACAAATACTCATTGTTGAATTTGAAATTTAATTAAATTACAAAAGAAACTGGTTGAAACGTTTTTCATAAAAGAAACGTTTATGAATCTGCACTACAGAATAATTTATCTTTATGATATATATATATATATATTTTTCATGATATTTAGAATTAGCAGAAGCATTTTTTATTAAACAAATAATCAAAAATAAAACGCTCAACTGATTATGATTGTTTAATAATTATTTAAACAATAAAAATACATGAAAGTTCAAGAAGATCCATGATTAAATGTCTTAACTAAGTCAATTATTAAATAAAATATGTGGTACATTTTAATATTCAATAAACGAAAGCCAATTTTTTGACAAACTTTTGCTAAAAGCAAAATGGAAAAAATATATTATTGGATTTTAATGCTTATATATGAAGATTTTGTGAATAACATTAGATGCAAAAGGAGATGATTTTCACAAAAATTTACTTTTGAAGCAATCCAATATTCCAAGAAATATTACTACAGCATATTATCAATAATATGCTTATTCAATTCTAATTTTTGTTCAATGTAATTATCCTAATATTATCTGAATAGCAGTATAATATTTATATATTTCTTTAAACAATGAACATTGAGTAATATTTTTAATACATGGAACTGAAGTGGAAAAAACGGAGCAAATCTCAGCAAACAATATAATATAAAAACTATATCTTGAAGATATACATTGAGTTAAAGGAAAAATTGAAATATGTCAAGCATCTAAATGTAAAAAGCATGAAGAATTGTCAATATATAAGAAAATACATATGTCAATATTAAGGAAAAAATAATTGACACTATTGGAAGATTAAAATAAAAATTATACAAAAGAAAGAAAATTTATAAAATATAGAAATTTATGCAAAAAAGAATAAAGAATATAATACATTGTTATTTATTAAATTGGCCAATGCTTTTCGCATAATAATAAATAATTCTTTTTTTTTTTCTTCATTTAAAATGAAATTTTGTATTAAAATTGTAATTCTAAAGTAGTATATTATGAAAAAATATATAAAAATCATCTAATAAAATTTATACATCTATGTATATAATATATAATATACAATATATATTTATTTTATATAAAATAGTTATATTTTTGAAGAATTAAATTTTATCTTCAGAATTATAATATTTCAATACTTTTATCATTTTTATTTAATATAATGTATGAGACTTTAATTATTTTTTATTTAATATCATGTTTAAAAAATTATTTATATATTTTAATTTTAAAGGCTGATTGATAAACAGGAATTTTAAATTACTGTTTTATTATATTTACTTTAAACATTTTAATAGATATGTATGTATATCTAGACCATACTCGATGAGATTATTTTGAAAACATACATATTGGAAGAAAATCAGGGAAATAATTAAAATAAATAAATATTGATAAAAACTGATATCATTAAAGGAATTAAATAGAAACTGAATTAGCCATATTGAGTTGTCCTTCAACATCATCCATACAAGAGGAAATTTTTCACATATTCCAGATTAAAGCTTAACACAAATTAACTTCATGCACTGTACGCTCACTAAACCTTGTGAATTTTCTTCCTTTTAAGATGAGATCATAAAGATGGAGAAAAAGGAGAAAAAGAAAAAGGCTGGGACTGCTAATGGAAAATCTGGTGCTAAGCGCACTCGAGGAAGTGTGCGAGGGCGAAGTGGACTCAGGGGTAGAGGTGCTAGAGTGAAGCGTAATACTGGAACTGCCAAAAAAGAACAAACATGGCAAGCTGGACAAAATAATAATAACAATAACAATAATAACAATAATAATAATAATGTGCGTGGTGGTTTTGTGAGAAAACGATATAAGAAAAATAGTGGTCTCACTCGATCACGAAGTAATTTAACATTAAATCAGAAATCAAATACACGAGGAGCTTTTAATGTTCGCCGTGGTCGTGGCAATAGATTTGGTCTGACTCGTAGTAGAAGTCGTACAAACTTGACTTTTACACAAGGAGGTTTTTTTACCAATAATAAGACTCCATTAAAAAGAACAAATAGTTTACCAAATTTACGCGATCCAACTTCAGTTCATAATCGATTGGGATATCAGAGTCCTGCCCAAATTGCTTATCGAAATCGTGTTAAAAGAGCAAAACAGTTACTACTTCAAAGACAAAATCAGAAATTATCTCTGCAAAATCAATTTAGAGTAAGTTGATATTATATATAAGCACTTAATTATAAAGATAATAAATTTGAAATTAAATTAATTATTTATTTTTTTATAGGTTCCACAAACTGGAAAATCATTATTATCACTCCAACAAAGATCCACAGATAGAAGACAACAAATTTTAACTTCTCAACGTCGTTTTACTACTGGTGGATTACGATCAGATCAAATTGCCCGTGCACAAAGACGAGCACAATATGAACAAAAATTAATGAGAATGAAGTATGCTTACACATTTCATAATTTATTTTTTTAAATAGTGTATAAAAAAAATTTATAAAACTTTAGATACTTTTTAAAATAAAATGTAATAATATTTTATTTTTTCTTTATATTTCGTGTTGGAATCTTATTGAAATCATACAATGTTGTAGTTCTTCGCGATTAAGTACAAACTCAAATGTAAACTTCATGTGTACATTGGGAAATGAATATAGTCCTAGTACGCACCAACGCCCTCTTACTCTTACACCAAATCGAAACGGAAGTGCTGTAAACAGTTTACGCCCATTACCAAGAGGACGATCTCCATTTAGACAAAGTGTACAAAGTTTGAATATGGTATGATATTTATTATAAGAAAATTAAAAAAAAATAAAATTGAGTTTTTATTTGATATATCTATAATATAACAAAATTTATATTTCAGGTTGGTCGATCACCTATGTTCGGTCGACAACGTTCGAGATCAAGGTCGCGTTCCCGTTCTCGTACACGTAATACTCCATCATCAGATACAGGAGCAGATGTTGATGATCGTACATTTAGCGAAGTCATGTACAGCTTGTCTGGAAACCTTGGCGTTACAGGAAGAACACTTAATGATAGATTTAGTTTTTAAATTAAAGTTTGTTTTGTATTTAGAATATAAGACTGTTGAGGCCAGACATTTTATTGCTTGAAACATAAATATCCAATATTGTAATTCTGTCTTATTAATTGTATTGATAGTAAAGTTGCTTCATGTAAAAAATAATTCATTTAATTCAAATATTTTCTATTTTCTCTATTTCTATTTTAAACAATATACAAATTATTTTTAAATTCTAAAATATAAAAAATTTATAAATTTCAAAAAATAATTTTCAAAATATAACAAATATTGAATTTATAATAAATTCAATATTTGCATTATCTTATATGTTTGACATTATCTTATAATATTTTACCATAAAAATTTTGTAAGAATAATTGGTTTATATTTTCTTTATAATAAATTTTTGTTATAAATTTAATATTTAAAAATGAAATGGTAAAATTTTATATAAGAAACTATCAGAATTTTTTGAATATTAAATATAAATTTTGATTCTTTATTAATGGGTCAAGATTTTGTTAATGTCTTAATAATATTTTGATCTTAAATTTGTATTTTGAAATTACATGATTTCAATATAATTTTTCTTATATTAAACTTAATAAATTTTTAGAAAAATATGGCCTCAATAACACATTTAATTTAATTAATCTAAAAATATCTAAAAATTAAATATAGTAATATTAATACAAAAGATTGAATCATTAAATATTATAATTACATTCAAATTATAAGAATTAAAAATTTTGTTAAGGATGTAGTTCCTAAAGTAAGTATAATATTGAATTTAAAAATAAATGTATAATTATAGATACAAAGAATATTTACATTTGAAATATATTGAATACAATATATCAATGAAATATAAGCCTATGATATAGCAAATTTTTTTTCTTTATTATATATTTTAATAAATTTAAGTGCTTGTAAAAAAATCATACATAAATACAATATAAATTGATTTTTGAAATTTTATTTTATTTTATTAATGTAATATAATACGTATGTTTTTTTAAATATATAGGATATACAGGATTTTAATATGCTTGTAGCCAAAATAAATACAAAAATATCAATAAGAATTTATTTATTAAATTATAACAATTGAAATTTGTTTGGTGAAGCAAGACGAAAATAAAATGAACTCTGTTTCGCTCTCATATTTTGTTTTCGCTTCGTTTCATTTACTTAAATTGCTTATAACTTGATAAATAAACCGATATTTTTGTATATCAATTTCTGTATTTGTTTTTGTTTTAGAAATTCTTCAAAAATTACAAATACGTTAACACCCTATACATATACAAAAAATAAAAACATTGAATCTTCATTAAAATATAAGTTATATTTATTAAACGTATAATATAGTTTATTGAAATTTATCTTATTGAATGTTAATTTATAAATCTATTCAATAACATGCATAAATATAATAATCTTTATGAGACCTATATATTTTTTATTAAAATATTTTTAGTAAATAACTTTTATAGCAAATATTTAGTATTATAATTATAATTACAATGTTACAAAATTCTATATCCATCGCCTACTTGACTTCAAATTTATATTTTCACTTAAAGTTACAAGTTCAAGTATATTGCTTTTGCAAACATACTTCTTGTAATTTTTTATATATAAAAACATTTTTTTTCTCGTAATTTCGTAAAAACTAAATAATTTTTTGTGTCAGTATATTAAGTAAGCTTCTTTTATATAGCTATAAAATTATTTAAAATTAATTGTCGGCAATATGTCTATTAATGTCATCGTGCCATTTATATCATTTTATGTTCGAAGAATAGAAAAACAGGTAGATAACATAATTTAAATATTCATATACAATAAATATAAATACAATCACTAAAGAAAATATTTTCAGTTTTTAAATCGTGTTTCTGCCACTATTCAACAAACTCGAAACCTACAAATTCATGAAAATCTTGCTTATACTTTATTAAAAGATGCTGGAATTCCAACACCACCGTTTGGAGTAGCTAAAACTCCAGAAGAAGCAGAAAAAATAGCAGCGAATCTTAATACAAAAGATATTGTTCTAAAAGCTCAAGTTCTTGCTGGAGGACGTGGAATAGGACATTTCAAAGACTCCAATGTGAGAGGTGTTGTTATGTGTGAAAGGTGAGTTTAATTATTAGAATATTATAGTATAATTTTCAATTGTGCTATATGTTATACTTTACTTCGTAATTTTACTTTATGTAATTTTTAGTCCCACAGAAGCTAAAACTGTGGCTAGTAGTATGATAGGCAAATTGTTAATAACTAAACAAACTGGACCGGCTGGTAAAATTTGTAATTCAGTAATGGTAACGACACGTATGTTTCCACGTAAAGAATATTATATGTCAGTAATGATGGAAACCACTTTTGATGTAAATTATTCTTCATTAAAAATAGTCATTGAATTTGTTATTCAAAATAAAAAAAAATATATATAATTTAGGGTCCTGTTATAATTGTATCTAAGCAAGGCGGTGTAAATATTGAAGATATTGCTGCTACGACTCCGGAAGCTATATCATATACGCCAATAGATATTATGAAAGGTTTAACACTTGAACAAATAAATAAAATTGTGGATAATTTAGGTCTTGAAGGGGAAGGAAAAAAAATCACTTCGATAATTATTTGCAATCTCTATGAGTTATTTATTGAAAAAGACGCTTTGTTACTTGAAATTAATCCATTTGCATTAGACATTTGTGAAGAATGTATGTTTTAAATAAAATGTTTTAAAAATTTATTTAATTAAAAATTATTAAATTAAAAATATTAATAAATAATAATATAACACATTTTTAGATTTTGCTTTAGACTGTAAATGTTCTTTTGATGACAGCGCAGAATTTAGACAAAAGGAATTATTTAATCTACAAGATATGTCACAAGTTGATCCTAGTGAAGTTCATGCAACTAAATTTAATTTAAATTACATACATTTGGATGGAAATATAGGATGTTTGGTAAATGGAGCTGGATTAGCAATGGCTACTATGGATGTAATAAAAATGAATGGCGGTTTCCCAGCAAATTTTTTAGATGTTGGTGGTTCTGCTGACAAAGAAGCAGTAACAGAAGGTTTTAAAATAATACTATCTGATCCAAATGTACTTATAAATTTAAAAGTAATCAAAATAAATTTTTCAAAAATAAAATCAATATAAAATTCATTAAAATCTTTAGGTAGAAGCAATATTCGTAAATATTTTTGGCGGTATTATGAGATGCGATATAATCGCACAAGGTATTATTGCTGCATCCAAAGAATTACAAATAAAAGTGCCAATAGTTGTAAGACTGCAGGTAATTTATTGATAACACATGAATAAAGACTGTATTTAATTAACAAATTTTATTCTATTATATAGGGAACTAAAGTAAAAGAAGCAAATCAATTAATAAAAGATGCTCAATTGAAAGTTTTTGTTGAAGAAGATTTTTCTACGGCTGCACTAGCAGCTGTAAAATTAGCTTCAGTAATAAAAATTGCAAATTCTTTGAATTTAGAAATGGATTTCAAAATTAAAAATAAGCCTAGCAAATAAAATCAAACATTTTATATTTTTAAAATTACAATTTAAAAGATATATATAATAATTATTTTGAATATGTAAGATAAAATAATTTTCGATTTATATTTTATATATACAGAGTGTTAACATTTTTAGAGAGTTGATTTTAGAAATCAAAGATAAAAATTAATAAATAAAAATATAAATAAAAAGATTTATTTATTAAGTTATAAATAATTTAAGTAAATGAGATAATGCGATAGAAATATAATCGAAACAAAGTGATTCACTCTTGTTTCTTGTAATATAAATTTCCATTCCTTATAATTTAATAAATAAATCTTAACTGATATTTTTGTATAGAATTTTAATCAATTCTCCAAAAATGTTTTATGGATATGTTAATATTTTATATTAATTATTTTAAACGATAATGTCTATAAAACACGAAATAATGAACATTTATATATTTTTTCTTTATTCTTTTTTATAATATATAAATTTATATGGAATGTATGTAAAAGATAAATATAAGGAATAAATATTTTTCTTCAAAAATATAAATATTATAATGTAATTATATTCTAGTTTACATTTTTTTTAAATATGATGAATTTTTGAATTTCAATTGTGTTTAAAATATATTATAGAGATAATTTATAAAAGCAAAATTATACATTAATTAATAAAAAAATAAAATATAAAATGTATATTACATTCTATATGTTATAAATACGTAAATAAATAAATTAAATTTTCATAGAAGTATTTATAATGTAAAATAGTGCTGCCACCATGATCTTCATTCGTAGAATTTGCGTCATGTTTTTGTAGTAAATATCAAGAAAGGTGGGGACATGAAGGCGCAAGTTACGTTTCGCAGTCCACTGCCACTATTTAGTAAGATGGCTACTATGTTGTCTCGGACTATCTCACTCGTTGAAAATCTTACCCGATTTAATGGATCGAAGGTATGATTTATATTTTATTATATCACATATTATTATATCATTTATTTTTGGAAATTCATATTCGCATATATCCTTTAATTCTATTTTTCTAAATTTTTCGATATCTACGTCATTGATTTATAAGTAAGATAATCATTATATTAGATGGCTGTCTGCTAAATTAGGCGCCAGGGTCAGATGATTCGAAGCCAAAGATAGTAACCTTATGTTAAACTTAGTTTTTTTACGAAATATGTACATGACAGTTGTATAATATGAGCGTAGACATTTCCATCATCAATTTTTGATTTGTTGGTCACTAACTCTATTCTATTCTATTCATTTAATTAGTAGTTATTAAATTATGCGAAAATAAATATTATTTGTCAAATTACGAACAATTGTCATTTTTTTTAAAAATTCAAAATTCAAAATTTAAATAATCGAATATCACTATCGATTATTTGAATTATTTTCTTAGAGAATTATTTTTTTCTTTTTTAGTAAATTTTATTTTATTTAATTTTAATAGCTGTATTTTTTATTTGTTATTTTTTCTTGTTATGAATACATATAAAATTGAAATATTAAAGATAAAATAAACTATAAGTGTCAAGTGTCAAGTGTGATTAAAAGTATATAGATCATTATCATTAATTGATCTTTAGTTTAGAATATTTTTAAGTCTTAAGGTTTAAATTTATAGTCTATAATATCAAACTCTGTTTTTATCTATTATTATTATATACATATTATTATATTTATTATTATTATATACATAATAGATATTTTATAAAAGCTTTATTTGTTACTAATGATCCATTTTTTTAATTTAATTCATATAGATATTGGGATGCAAAATCAACTTAATAAAACAAGTGAGGAATTTAAATGTTCATGAACATATAAGTTATAGTTTATTAAATGAAGCTGGAGTTCCAACTCCTAAATTTGGAGTTGCAAAAACTCCAGATGAAGCAGCAAAACTTGCTGCTGACTTAAAATCTAAAGATATTGTTTTGAAAGCACAAGTTTTAGCTGGTGGCAGAGGAAAAGGACATTTTAAGGAAACTAATATAAGTGGTGTGAAAATGTGTGAAACGTAAGTTATTAAATGCACAAAAACAATTATGTTTTATATTTATTTTATATATTTTTATTATATATATATATATATATGCGTGTATATAAAATAAATAAATTTTTTTTTATAGACCAGAAGAAGCCAAAAAATTAGCCAGTCAAATGTTAGGAAAATTACTAATTACTAAACAGACAGGCGAAGCAGGTAGAATATGCAATGCAGTAATGGTAACACAACGCATGTTTCCTCGTAAAGAATATTATCTTGCTGTCATGATGGAAAGAGCTTTTGGTGTAAGTTGTCAAAATATATTTTTAATTGATAAAATAAAATAGTTTAAAATAATTTATTAGAAAAATTTTCTTATTTAAGGGTCCAGTCATTATAGCATCAAGTCAAGGTGGTGTAAATATTGAGGAAGTTGCTGCAACAAATCCCAATGCTATTATGTACGAACCTATTGATATTTACAAGGGTATTACAAAAGATCAAGCAGAACGTATTGCTATTAAACTTGGACTTCAAAATGTTAAAGATTATATTTCTAATATCATTGTGAATTTATATCAAATGTTTCTTAAAAAAGATGCTCTTTTGCTAGAAGTAAATCCTCTGGCAGAAGATGTTAATGGAGAATGTAAGTTCAACTCATAAGAAATTTTATATATTATACAATGTAATATTTGAAGATTTTATTTTTTATTTTTAATATATAGATTTTGCTTTGGACTGCAAATGCAGATTTGATGATAATGCTGAATTTAGGCAAAAAGAATTATTTTCCTTGAGAGATTGGACTCAAGAAGATACCAAAGAAGTTGAAGCTGCTAAATATGATTTAAATTATATTGCACTTGATGGCAATATTGGTTGTATGGTAAATGGAGCTGGTTTAGCCATGGCTACTATGGATATTATAAAATTACATGGAGGAGAACCAGCTAATTTCTTAGATGTAGGTGGTGGTGCATCTACATCTGCTGTGAAAGAAGCATTTAAAATAATTACATCTGATTCACGAGTAAGTTATATAATATAAAGATATATAAAGATATATTGTATATTATATATATATTATATATTGATATATATTCATTTAATATTAATAAAATTAATATGTTCTTCATTTATTACATATAGGTTCACGCTCTTTTAGTCAATATATTTGGTGGAATTATGAGATGTGATGTTATTGCAGAAGGAATCATTGCTGCAACAAAAGAACTTAGCTTAAAAATTCCTGTTGTTGTTCGATTACAGGTATAATTTTAAAAATATAATAATATTTTTTTTTATTGAAGTTAATAATTGAAATATAAATTTAATTTTATTCAACTATTTATATATTTCATAATATATATATATTATATAATATATATTTCAGGGTACAAATGTAGATGAAGCAAAAGCTCTTATCGCGAATGCAGGTTTAAAAATTGTACCAATTGATGATTTGGATGAAGCTGCTCGAGTCGCAGTTAAATTATCAACGATTGTCAAATTAGCACAATCTGAAAATCTTAGCGTTAATTTTGAAATACCTTCAATTTCATAAATTTAGTAAAAATTATAATTTGCATATTATGAAAAAAATACGAGAATATATTTATATTACTAAATATTTGAAAATAATAACTAGATTAATAATTTCAAATTATTATGTGCAGTTTTTAAAATTATATTTAATTACTTCATATATTTCTATTATAAGTAAAATGAAAAAAAATTTACTGAAATTTTCTCTTACTCAATATTTGGAATATTTTTATCTTCTTTAAAAAAGAAAAAGAAAAAAATGAACATATTTTTTTTATAATTTTAAATATTGCATATTAAATATTGCAGACTATCTATTTAAAATTAATATTATTTATTTCTCAATGCAAGCACAAATTCTTTTTCAAAAAATATATAAACTTCTTTAAAAATGTAATTTATTATTTACCCAATTAATGGGTTTCTGTGATTCAGTATTAAAATTAAGTTACATAATGTATATTAACTGATATAATCATATTTTTTGCATGAAAGTGTACTTTATATTCTTTCATATAAAAGTCATATATTGATATTAACAAAGTATATGTTTAAAAATGAAATCTTTTATATAATCATTCACAAAAAATTATTATAATTAAAATATTATACGAGATATAATTATTATATCTCATTTAAAAGGAAAAAAAGGGCCTGTTATGTAATATAGACACATGTAGTTATATATACATATATATATATATATATAAATTATTTTATGTAATTTTAATTTGTTTTTATTTTATTGATGAATCAAAAGTTATTCTCAATTCCCTAATAATATCATTATAAAATAATCAAATTACAATGTAGTATAATAGTTCAATTATAACATGATATGGTTACATAGTAAAAAAAAAAATTATATCATATTGTTTGCATTTACATTTACATAGATATATATACAATATATATGTACATTACAAAATATACTATATTATAAAATATCATAATATAATTTAATTTATTAAAAGTAATTTGTATAAAAAAAGTTTATCAATGAGTAAAAATGTATAATATTACTTCAAATACGATATAAAAATATAAAAAATAAAATTTTAAATATTCCTCAATGGAATGCAAAATTATTTGAATATATTTTTGCTTAAATGAAATTGTTACAATTCGCAATAATTCTCTTTTTTAATAAAAAACTATGTGTTAAATTATGTGTTATAATAATCTGTAAATTTATTTGTATATTTAATATAAAAAATTTAAAATAAACTTACTTGAAACTTAAATAAATTTAAAAATACATTTGATATAATATTAACTTATATTTATGTTAAAGTAATATTTTTGATATACTAAAACATATTTTATATTATATAATACATATATATTATATTAATGTTTAATTTTAATTCAAAATAAAAGATAAATTTGATGTGTTTTAAATTATTTTTTGTTTTTAATATATTTGTTTTTAATATATGATTTTTTTTATGTTGGCTTTCCTGTTTAATGTCACCTAATGTTCGATTGGTATTAAGAATTTACAATTCATTTTGAATAAGAAAACGTATAACGTATAAAGTAACGAAATATTTATTATAATAAAAAAAATTTAATATTATTTGTTTTTTATTTTTATATTTTATTGTTATTTATTTTTATATTTTTTTTTATATTTTAATTTAATTAAATTTTAATTAAGTTTGAATTATTAATATTTAAAGAATGGTAAGAACAAAAGCAGATCGTGTTCCTACAAAAGGTAAGAAAAATTTCTAAAATATATTTTCTTCATTAAGTTATTTCAAAAATTTTTATCTTTTCTTTATTCTTTCATTTTTAATACGATTTAATTGATAATATTTTATTATATTTATTATTATTTTATAAATATTTTGTACTTTTATTTATTTAAATTATGATATTTTTTATAATTACTATAATTTGATTAATTGATTTTGTTAATATTTATTATTTATAGCTGTTGGTAGCAAAGCACCACATAAATCTGTAAAAAGTACATCAATTAAAAAAACAAATGGTAAAGGTAAAATCTTTAATTTTATTAAACATATTTTCAAAAATAAATCATTATTTCAAAAATAACATTTTAATTTCAGGAAAAAGTTATTCAAGTGGTAATCCATATCATCCAAGAGAAACTCCAGAATGGCAAAAACCTATTACATGTTTCCTCAATCAAAATTTTTTGAAAGAATCTACTGATGTTTCAGAAATTCAGGTATATAAAGAAGTATTGGCATGTAATTTAATGAATGTATTTTTAAACAACAAAACATTAAATAATATATTATTAATATGATAGGATGGTGGTGAAGGGACTAGTAAAGAAGTAGAAAATGAAACGGATTAAAAATATACAATAATGTTATTAACCAATTATAATATCATATTATTATTTTTAATCATTAAAAAAGATTATTTATCTTTATTTTATTTATTTCATAAAAGTAATGTAGATAGTTATTTTATATTTTATTTTTAAATAATAAAAAGATTCCTTAATTTTAATTAATTTAAAACAAATAAATAAAAAATAAAAAGAGCAAATATCTAAGTAACAAAAATAAATATATTTTTTTATTTGACATTTGAAATATTATTAATATATTATAAATAATATTTAAAATTAGAAGAATAATATTGTAATGTATTCAAATAAAATTATTATCAGCAAATATGAAATAAATATTTGTTTTTTATTCTAATAAAATGAATCTTCATTAAATTATTTGTATAAGTTTTTTTTGTATTAAATATTTTATTGAATATATCAATATATTATTAATCAAATAAATGTTATTCTTTAAATTTTGTGAAAAAAATATGGTGAAAAAAATTTAATTTAAGTAAAGTTAAACACGTAAGGAAGAAATCAACCAATCGTGACTATATTCCGATGTTTCATTCCGCGGTTATTATTCTGTTGAGTTTAGGAACGCAATTACCATCAAAATTTTAGCAGTCCAAGTTGCGGTAAAGATTCGCAGTATTGAAATGCTGCCGACAGTGAAATTTCATTAAAATACAGTTTCTGACGCGATTTTTTATCAAATAAATAAAATCGAATTCAGTGTCGTCTGCTTCGACGGAACTTCGTAATTTTTTTTTCTTTTCGTTTCATTATAACGTAGAATATTGAAACGACAACTGTAACCGGCTGTAAAAAAGTTTTCAACCATGGCTAGTGTTTCTTATCAAATTGCAAACCTGCTGGAAAAGGTATGTAATATATTTTTTTAAATATGTACTAATAATTTTTTCATTGTTTACTTTGAAATAATATTGAAGAATATGTTATACTTGATCTGACAATAATATTAAATTCTACATAACCTCCATTTATTGTTTAAAAAAATATTTAATTATTTTTATAGAAACTTTTTAATAATTTCTAATATAAGTAACAATATTATATTTAATCTTTATTATTGCTTTCAAAATTTTATTTTTATTATGAATTACATACATTATTATAAATTATGTAGACATTCATGAATTCATTGTCAGCAAGAAACAAAGGTGTTTGCATCTGTCACAAAGATATTATAATTTATTATTTTAATTTTTTATGTGAATAATTCGAATTTTTATGCATTTATGATGATTATTAGTCTTTATATCTAAGTGTTGCGTATTAATAATTTAATAATTTTATTTTCTTTATTAATTATGATGTATATGTATATGTACGTCGTGCGTGCGCGCGCGCGCGCGTGCGTGCGTGCGTGCATGCATGCATGCATATTGCTGTATTTTATTGTTATACAAGACATTATTTTTTTTTTATTTCTTCTATAATAATTTTAATTTCAAAATTTTTATTATAATTTTATATTTTATTTTTATATATTAAATATTTTATATTTTATTATGACTTAGATGACATCCACTGACAAGGATTTTAGATTTATGGCAACTAATGATTTAATGAGTGAACTCCAGAAAGACAATATCAAATTGGATGATGATTCAGAACGTAAAGTTGTGAAAATGCTATTAAAACTATTGGAGGATAAAAATGGAGAAGTACAAAATCTTGCTGTAAAATGGTATAGTAATGTCTAGATTAAAATATACATTTTATTTATTTAAAATTTATAATAATATTATATATTATTTTTGAGTATTAACTATATTTTCTAACTATATTTTTCTTTAAAAATTAAATATATATAATTGCTTATATGTTCAAAACGCGTATTATGTTTGCAAGATTTTCTTTGTATTTGGACACGATTACAGAAACGTGTCCGATTTCAGTTTGGGCCCACTAGTCAATAAGGTAAAGGAGTACCAGGTGGAAACTATTGTAGATGCCCTATGTATTAACATGGTATCGGATAAAGAACAATTAAGAGATATTTCCAGTATTGGTTTGAAGACTGTAATATCTGAACTTCCTTTGGGATCCAGTGCACTTGTTGCAAATGTTTGTAAACGAATAACTGGTCGACTGAGTAGTGCTATAGAAAAAGTAATTAATATTTTCAAATTAATAATATATTTTGAAATTATTAGTAAAATTATATATTATAATTATATATTATATATTATATAATTATATATCAATAAAATTGTATATTTATTAAAATTATATTATATATTATTAAGATAAAAAAAAGAATAATTCTATATTACACAGCAGGAGGATGTATCTGTACAACTTGAGGCACTTGATATTATGGCTGACTTATTGTCTCGTTTTGGTGCTTTATTAATTACGTTTCATTCCACCATTTTGGCTGCATTATTACCGCAACTTTCTTCTCCTCGTCAAGCAGTTCGAAAGCGTACTATAATAGCACTGAGTCATCTTCTAACTTCAAGCAATAATTATTTGTATAATAAACTTGTAGATCATTTACTTGAAGGTCTTTATACACAAACAGCGAAAAATGTTATACGTACTTATATACAATGCATTGCTTCTATTTGGTAAATATCTTTTATGAGAAATTAGTTTTACTTTTTTATACAATTTTTATTTTTATTATTGAATTTTAGTCGTCAAGCAGGACACAGATTTGGAGAACAAATAGAAAAAGTTATGCCATTAATTGTACAATATAGTAACGAAGATGATGATGAATTGAGAGAATATTGTTTGCAAGCATTTGAATCATTTGTATACAGATGTCCCAAAGAAATCACTCCGCATATAAATAAAGTGAGTATACTTTCATAAATAAATTTAATATCTTGAATTAAAATAAAATAAAAAATTAAATAAAAAATTAAAATAAAACATTTTTTTATTAGATTATAGAAATTTGTTTGGTTTATATCACATATGATCCAAATTATAATTATGATGATGATATGAACGATATGTCTGATGGAGAAGATGTTATGATGGAAGTAGAAGAAGATGGAGAAGAAGATGCAGAAGATGAATATTCAGATGATGATGACATGAGCTGGAAAGTTCGCAGAGCAGCTGCAAAATGTCTTGAAGCTGTTGTATCTAGTAGACGGGAACTTCTTCCTGAACTTTATAAGATTGTTTCTCCAGCTTTGATTTTAAGATTTAAAGGTATTTTCTTCAGTAAAATAGTTTAGTAGAAATCCAATATACTTTTAATTCTTGCTAAAGATAGATTATATATATATTTTTATAGAAAGAGAGGAAAATGTAAAATCTGATATTTTTCACGCATACATTGCACTTCTAAGACAAACAAGACCAGCTACCGGGGTGCCTCTTGATCCCGATGCAATGGAAGATGATGATGGACCTATTGCATTGTTACAACAACAAGTTCCATTAATCGTGAAAGCTGTCCATCGTCAAATGAAAGAAAAGAGCATTAAAACCAGACAAGATTGTTTTTCGTTATTAAAAGAATTAGTTCTTGTATTGCCTGGTGCTTTGAGTAATCACATACCAGCGTTAATACCTGGTATACAATATTCTTTGGGAGATAAAAATTCTTCATCAAATATGAAGATCGATACATTGGCATTTGTACATACTTTATTAATAACTCATCAACCAGAAGTCTTTCATGCTCATATGGCAGTCTTAGCACCTCCAATTATAACAGCTGTGGGAGATCCGTTTTATAAAATTACAGCAGAAGCATTATTGGTATTACAACAACTTGTACAAGTAATCAGACCACATGGTAAGTTATAAAGAAGTTATTTACTAATAAATTTTATTAAAAAAAAATTAAAATTTTTTAAATTTTACTTAAAAAAAATTAAAATTTTATTTTAGATAAAACATGTTATTTTGATTTTACATCATTATCTGGAGAAATATATCGGTGCACATTAATGAGATTGAGAACAGCAGACATTGATCAAGAAGTAAAAGAAAGAGCAATTGCTTGTATGGGTCAAATTCTCGCACATTTCGGAGATACTTTGTTCGATGAATTGCATATATGCCTTCCTATATTTCTGGACAGACTCCGTAATGAAATTACTCGACTTACGACAGTAAAAGCTTTAACATGTATAGCAGCATCTCCTTTAAGAGTAGATCTTAATCAAATTATGGTACATAAATTATAGTTGATAATAAATATTAATAAACACTTTAAAACAATATTCTACTATTTCATTTGTTTAATATTACCACATTTTTTATAGGATATATAAAATTTTTATTTGTTTAATTTTATTATATTTTTTTATAGGAAGAAGCAATTCCAATTCTTGGATCTTTTCTAAGAAAAAATCAACGAGCTTTAAAATTATGTTCTCTTCCACTTTTGGATACGTTGGTCCGAAATTATAGCTCTACTCTTCATGCAGATTTATTGGATAAGGTAATAAAAAAATATAAAAATAATGATTGGTATTTTTTTAATTGATTAAATGAAATAATTTATTGAAATTATAATGAAATATAGAATTATAATAAGTATAAATATAATTATAATGAAATATCTTATTAGGTGACTACAGAATTACCAGCGTTATTAAATGAAACTGATTTACATATTGCGCAATTAACGCTTAATCTCCTCACCACCATAGCAAAATTACATCCAGTCGCTCTCACGCGAGTTTCTGATAATATCCTTCCAGAAATATTAGTTTTAGTAAAATCTCCACTTCTACAAGGTAATATATATTTAATCATTAAAAAAGTATTTATATAATAAAGATATTAATAATCAATTTTGTTTAATGTGTTAGGAGTGGCTTTGAATTCTATGTTGGAATTTTTCCAAGCATTAGTACAAGCAGATATACCAGGTCTTGGTTATAGAGAATTGCTCTCAATGTTATTAGCTCCAGTCAGTCAATCTGTACTTCATAAGCAAGCTTATCATTCTCTTGCAAAATGTGCAGCAGCATTAACAATCACATGGCATCAAGAAGCTCAAGCGGTGGTAGAACAATTTTTAAAAGATGTTCAAAATCCTCAGAGTGATGCACAGCATATTTTTGCATTATTAGTTATTGGTGAAATAGGCAGACATGTGTA